GAAGTACTTTTGGGACCCGTTTCCAGGCCAAGAACAAGGCCACTGATCTGTTGCCCTCAAAACTCCCATCCTGTGGAGGCAGAAGAGTCCATCATATGCCCACTCATGCTTCTACATTTTGAATCTCTCTCTTAGCTTCACATCTAGGTTATCTTTTTTCTGTATCAGGGTCAAAGCTGGCTGCCAGACCTCTAGGATGGCCTAGGGCTTACGTAGAATTTCTCCTACTTCTCCAACCAGACACAAGTGCCAGGCTGCCTTCACCAATCAGGGCAGATTCTTTTTTTTTTTTTTTTTTAACTTCAGTAAGTAGGGGTCCTGTTGTCCACCTTCGGAAGGAGGAAACTCAGAAAACACAATGAGAATGCTGTACTCTTCTGAGAAGACTCCCTCATCCCCACACCCAGCTTAATGTTTAAAAATAGCTGTAATTAGAGGTAGACAGACATAGTAATAGATTTGGATCCCAGCTCTCTCAGCTTGTGGCCATAATTAGCCTCTTTTGGTCCCCAAAATGGAGCAATAATGGCCTCTCTGTGGGGTTGTTGGACACACAGAATTTAGATAAATAGCTTTTATGATGATGATGATAAAATGTGGGTTGAATTCGTGGTGGTAGTAGTACAAAGGAACTGGTGAATGAAGTGGATCGCCCTGGAGCGATGCTGGGTTTTATCCATCTATGACATGGGTGCAGCTGAAGCTGGACAATGCTGAGCAGTGAGAAGCGCCAGCCCACTTCACGGTTAGGTCTCTACTGGGTGAAGGCTATGATCTGGCTAAGCTAAGCCAACTGTGACCCTGAGCCCAGCCTCATCCTCAGAGTCTCAGAAACCTAGTCCCATTCAGACATCATCCCACTCAGGGAGGCTGCCAGACCCACACACCCCCAGAGGCCTGTGTGTCAGCTACATGCCAGCTGGTCAGTGGACTAGACAGACATGTCAGCCTAACCCGCGCATTCTCTCCCTGGAAGCAAGACACGTGGAAAGGCAGATGTTCAGAAAGTACCTGGAAAGTCATGAATCCTAACAGAGAAGTTAGTTTTAAAACTCAAAGGTCCAGCGGGCACCAGGCCTTGTTATATTTGGCTGCACAAGTCTGCACAACAGAGATACCTGACAGAGGGCCAGCTATTCTCATAAGACTCTGGTCCCTCTGCCAGACAGAGCCCAAAGGAATGAAGCCAGAATTCTTGCAGTCTCCCTTCTTTGCCTCTGAAACCTTTCTTTAGATCAGCGTCTTCCTTCTTTAGGTGTGTTTATACCTTCCATCAGTGTCACTTCCTTCCTGGGCACCTCTCATTACATGTGGATTTCACAGTTTATCTCTGAGAGGGGCAGGAGGACAATGCTACTTCCAAGTTCTTGGCAAGGAGAGGCAGGTTATCAGTGGGTAACTGAGGATGGCCTATGGGTGCAATAATCTCTGCTTTCCTCACCCCCTAGAGAGTTGAAATAACAGGAAAATAGAACAGTCACGTCCATGTTGGAAGGGAACTTTTTTTTTGTTTCACAGACTAGACTTTCCCAGTGCCATATTGATGGTTGGGACTACACAACCAATTCTTTAAAGCAAAGTTTTTTCTTTAGTTTTCACTTTTTTGCTGTCTTCTTTCCCTGGACTTTATTTGGAGTAGAAGGAAGATAGCCACAGAAGGAGGCAAATGTGGTAACCAAGGCGGTGGAAACTATAGTTCAGTGTTTTCCCCGGATACTCCCAGGCCCAAATCTAGCCTAGATCCTTGGCACGGGCCGGTAGAGGAATGACTGGCAGGCTGCCCTTTGAACTTGCCAGCCTCTCTGTCCTGAGGGTTTCCTTGGGCACCTTGCTGCGAAGTCTTCCGGCTGAATGCTTAGCTGGGTCACAGGCATTTCACCAAGCTGCCTGCCCCTGCCCAAAGGAATCGCCAAAAGTTATTATCATTGAAGTGAGTCTGGAGGTTGGGACTGAGGAAAAGCTGCAGCCTCCTGGCCTCGCCCTTCTCTGGGTCTGTCCCTCTCCTCTGCACTGCTGGGCCGTTCGCTGTATCACTTCAGTCTTCCCTTCACGTTACAAAGCATTTTTCTGTTCTGCTCCTAGGACAGTGGTGGAGGCTGTGGAGATTATATAAGCTGTCTCTCCTCTATTTGAAGTCAAGCTCCCAAGTCCTTAGGAGATTGCCTGGCACCAGATCATTTCTTCAACAAGTGTTAATTGAATTCATAGTGTAGGCATTGCCAATAACTACCTGACATCAGCAACATGCTAACAAGTACACCACATCCTCTGTGTGGGGCTCTTGTCCAAAATGTTTTTTACATCTAATCTTGAGGAAACAAACAGACAATCCAGGATATGAGACTTTCTATAAGAAAACTGGCATGGACACTAAAAAGAAAGTCAATGTTATAGAAAGTTTAAAAAAAAAAAAAGGCAGATTATTAGAGATAGTACTGTCCAATAGACCTTTCTGTGATGATGGAAATAGTTTAAGTCTGTGCTGTTCAACATAGTAACTGCTAGCCAAATATGGCTATTGAGCACTTGAAGTGTGGCTAGGCGACAGATGAGCCAGCCTGTACATTTATTTGTTTTAATTAATTAATTTTAAAAAATATTTTAGAGATGGGATCTCACTGTGTTGCCCAGGCTGGTCTCAAACTCCTGACCTCAAGCCAAAAAGTAGCTGGGTATGGTGGTGCACACCTGTATTTCCAGCAGCTCGGGAGGCTGAGGCAGGAGAATCGCTCGAACCCAGGAGGCGGAGGTGGCAGGGAGCCGAGATCGTGCCACTGCACTCCAGCCAGGTTGACAGAGCAAGAATCCATCTAAAAAAAAAAAAAAGTGTTAAATGGCTGTGTATGTTATTGGTAAGACTCCCAGTCAACAGTAGGCTATTAGTAGTTAAGTTCTCGTGTAGTCAAAAGTGATGCACAAATTTTCCACTGGAGGTTAGGTAGGCTCTCCTAACCCCTGAGTTGTTCAAGGGCCTACTATATATGCAAATCAATTGTTTAGCACTTTGAATGTGTGTTCTTTCTCTCTTATTTATAACAGTCTCTCTTAAAAACTACAATCAGAACTGCGATTTAGTATTGAAGAAATGCACCTCTTGGACAGGTGTAGTGGCTCATGCCTGTAATCCCAGCACTTTGGGAGGCCAAGGCGGACGGATCACTTGAGGTCAGGAATTCAAGACCAGCCTGGCCAATACAGGGAAACCCCATCTCTACTAAAAGTACAAAACGTATCCGGGTGTGGTGGCGGGTGCCTATAAGCCAAGCTACTTGAGAGGCTAAGGCAGGATAATCGCTTAAACCCAGGAGGCAGAGGTTGCAGTGAGCAGCCTGGCCAACATGGTGAAACCCCGCCTCTACAAAAAATACAAAAATCAGCCGGGCTTGGTGGCACACAGCTGTAGTCCCAGCTACTCAAGAGGCTGAGGCAGGAGACTCACTTGAGCCCAGGAAGTGAAGGTTGCAGTGAGCCAAGATCCAGCCTGGATGACAGAGTGAGACTCTGTCTCGAGAAATTGAATAAATAAATACAAGAGTATAAAGGGACATGTATAAAGGAAATAATAATGCTCAGAATCTGAAGTCTACAGGGAGGGAAGAAATGATGAGTCCAGTGACAGAAATAGGGAAGCTGAGAAAAGGAGCTATTTTTGTGGCTATGTAATAAGAGGGAGGATGTGGCAGGACATCCAAGTGGAGGCATCTTTTGGAAAGCTGAATATCACTGATCGAAGATAAAAAAACAAATAAAGGGAAGATAGATCTTTCACACCAAGGACTATTCACTCAAGAGTTTGTGGAATGATTGACTCAGAGACCAAGAATCAAGCCTTAGGAAACACTTAGAGGGAAATGGTGTGGAGAGAAACCTCAAAGAAAAAGATAATTATCAGAGAAGTAGGAGGATGAAAAAGAAAGAACCGTGTCGTGTCGTAGAAGGCATATGGGAAACAAATGTCAAAGGAGTGGTCAGCTATGTCAAAGCAACTAGGAACAGAGAAAATTGGATCCTTAAAGGTGAGTAGCCTGGTCTAAGCTCCTGTGCCTGGGCAACAAACATTTTGGGCAAAATATATTGTGAACCATGCTCATGCTCTTTCCCCACAGAACATAAGTGATAGCCTCTCTGTCAAGAGACCTAAGCAAGATTCCATAGTGTCTGGTCCTGGGCTGTTCACATGGGCTTGCTGGGTCTCTTCCTCAATTCCTAGAAAAAGTATAGAAAATGGAACTCTCTTTGCTTGCCATTGAGCTCATGTCCTGCCAACTCCTACCTAAATGACAGGCAGGTCAGTAAAGTTACAGGCTGAGAAATTAGAATTATTTGTCAAACCCTAGTTTTATGATGATCTGTTAGCAACAGCCACAACAAATCAAGGATTCCCAGTGCATTTCAATTAGCTTCTAGCTCAAATGATACATGAATAAATAGCATGGTTAGAACAGGCATTGTAGAAGTATGAATGGGGACTGCCTCCTGTTTTCTGTCTATTGTTGGATATTAAATGCTGTAACTTTTGGCATATGTTTTTCCAAGGAACGGTCTCTTGGGTCAAGTTTTCCTGAACTTGCCTGGTATTGGGCAAGTTCATACGGAAACTATGAGTAATTTCACGAGGTCCTGGGCTTGTCTATCTATTTGAAGGAATAGGAAATGGACTTCACTTGGAGCATGATCTGTGAGGCTTGGGCTTTTATTAGTGAAATAAGTTTTACTCTTAACTACGCAAAACCTTTAAAGACAGGAGAAAACTATCTGGGGACAGATTCAGGCCAGTGAGATCACGTTGCACAAATCTCCTCTTAAGGGATCTTTACTGACCCAGAACCGTTTCAAAACAAGATTCCGAACTGTTGTAGGAGTTTGAAGCCTTGAAACATTGTGTAGGTTGGTTTAAAACAAAATAATGAATACACTACATTTCCCAGGAGGCTTCGCGGGTGAGCCTCTGCACTCGGCTAGTTCTCTCTACCGCGAGGATAGTTGGGAAATGTAGTGCTCCAGGCAACCCTGCACGTGACGCTGGCGGAGGAAGGCGAGAGAGAGGCGCGGGAGGGGGTCTAGGGAACCGAGGTGCCGGCTGCTTTTTCCTCACAATTCGGTTTGTGCAGCAAGGGGAGGGTCCTCATCATCTGGCCCCAGTGGTGTAATGAGCTGACTGGGATTCAGTTGCTGGCTTGGAGCCGCTCCGGGGAAGTCCCGGTGGGTGAGGTTCCGCAGCGCCTGGTCCCGTTTCTCGGCAGTCGGGTAGGTGGGGTAGGGGGGAAGGTGCGAACAGCCAGGGGCACGGAGCTCGCGCCCTGCGCCCCACCCAGGTTGTGGCCGCCCGGGGAGGAAGCGCGCATAGGTTGAGTGCAAAGTTTCCTTTTTTGCTTTCTCGTCAGAGCAGCCCTCACAGGCGGTGGGTGGGAATGCCTCGCTTCAGTTTGAAGAGGGTCCGGAGCCAAAGGGGTTAAAACAAGCTACTTCCCCACTCTCCGCCTCTCTAAAACGCACGCTCCGCTAGCCATGGGCAGCCGCGACCACCTGTTCAAAGTGCTGGTGGTGGGGGACGCCGCAGTGGGCAAGACGTCGCTGGTGCAGCGATATTGCCAGGACAGCTTCAGCAAACACTACAAGTCCACGGTGGGAGGTGAGACGTCTCTGGGGGGAGGAGTCGGGAGAGGCCCCGGCCGCGGACTCGAACTGGGGATCCAAGCGGGATGGGGATTTGCTGTCGGTTGTTGGAGCCTTCTTCGGGCCGGGAAGTAGTGTCAGGGAATCTGGATGGAGTAATTGCTGGGTGTTTGGTTTACACGCCTCTCCTGGGTTTCCCCAGTTCGATTTTCCCAACCTGAACCGACTGCCTGGAGAAAGGTAAGGGCTAAGGAGTGACGATGAGAATAGGGAAGGGAGGCTGAGGATGAGCAGTTGCTGTTTATTGCGAGCTCACTGTGAACCCAAGTCTCCTGCCTCAGCCTTTCAGCTGTCAGGGGCAAATCTCTCCAGTCGGCAGAAGCAGCTGAGGTCCTCTGTAGGGCCTCCTGGTTAGGTGCAGTCTGGGGCTGTTGTCCTGCCCGTCTCTGTTGAGGAAGGAACCGCAAGGTGTTTAACCTGCCGCCTCGGGGAGAACGCAGAACGGGTTGGAAGAACTTTAGCTCGGTTATGGGGCTGTGCGTGGGATGGAAGACACAAAATCCTCAAACGAGCCCCTTGGCTACGCAGTCAGATGCCCATGAGGGCTGATGAGCTGTGTTTTTGTCCGTTGATTGCTTAAATAAAGGTAACCAAGGAAGTCTTTGAAGCATGTGAAACATACCACTTCTCTGATCTATCTTCCCACCACTTTTTCCCTCAAACTGGAGAAGGTAGGGAGGAAGGGAACACCGTCATTTCTTTCTCGGGCGTAGCCTTTGGACTCAACTGTTTTTTCAGAGGTAGAACTGCCTTGTTAATTAGAAGGTATTTAGCTAGGAAGAGCTGGTGATGGGGGAAGAGTAACTTAAAATTTTATCTATCTCTGTTAAAATAACTTAAGGGGGGGAAACTTATACTAATGGAAAAACTGAAAAATGTGTGCTCATGTTCATATGGAAGTTTAAAAAGAAATTAACAAGCATTTACATTGCAATTGAAACATTCTCCTTAAGAACCCCCAGCAGGGCTGGGCACAGTGGTTCACTTCTGTAATCTCAGCACTTTGGGAGGCAGAGGTGGCCAGATCATTTGAAGTTAGGAGTTCAAGACCAGCCTGACCAACATGGTGAAACCCCCATCTCTACTAAAAATACAAAAAAAATTAGTCGGGCGTGGTGGCACACACCTGTAATCCCAGCTACTTGGAGGCTGAGGCAGGAGAATCGCTTGAACCTGGGAGGCGGAGGTTGCAGTGAACCAAGATCACACTACTGGACTCCAGCCTGGATGATAGAGCAAGGACTCTGTGTCAAAAAAACAAAACAAAAAAAAAACAGTAGGGCCCAGTGAGGTGGTTCATACTTGCAATCCCAGCACTTTAGGAGGCGGAGACAGGAGGATTGCTTGAGACCAGCCATGGGAAACATGGCAAGACCCCACCTCTACAAAAATTAAAGAAAAAAGTAGCTGTGGTCCCAGCTACTCGGGAAACTGAGGCAAGAGGATTGCTTGAACTCAGAAGGTCAAGACTTCAGTGAGCCCTGTTCACACCACTCACTGCACTGTAACCTGGGCAACAGAGCAAGACACTGTCTCAAAAACAAAAGAACAAAGAAATTTAAGTCCGGCAAAATTACGGGTTTAAAGTTTCAGACACTCTATCTTGACTACTCAGACCTCCCACTCCTAAATAACATAAGGTTCCTATTTCACAGATTTAAGTTAAAAGTGTCCTGCTATTAATAGTGAATTTTTAATAATTGCTATAGTTTTTCTTTAGCAAAGAACATAATTGACTCTGGCTAATTTTTTCTCAGTGTTTATTCTAAATTTCCCTTAGCTTTGATTCCTGTCACAGATGTAAAAGATAATATTTCCAAACCTCAGGAATTACTCTGTTTCTCTCCTCATCCAAAAGCTTTCCCTGTGGAATACTCACCCAGCCTTAACTCAAGGAGTCTCAGCACGTGCAGACTTGGTGGTAGATTCCAGCAGGACTCTTCAGCAACATCCATGGGGTGTCTTCTTCCTGGGACTCCTCTGGGACCTTTTCCATTTATTCCATTCTTGCCCAAGATAATACCTGCAGCCTTACGGTGGATGTAGAGTTTCCCAGGGTGTGTTCTCATAATACAATTTGATTAGAAACCAACAGTGAAATTGAATGTGGACGATACAAAAGCAACCACACTTATCTCATTTCCCCCTTCTCCCCTATCATCCCTTTCCTGAGAAAACCCCCTAAATCTCCCAGAAACTGCTTAACCTGAGAATGAGAGTTGTTTTCATAGCTACTCCTACCCTCGTCTATAGTTACTCTTGCCTTCAGTCTTGGAGACAAGTCTTAGCAAATAAATGAGCTTTACAAGAGAGTAAAAGCTGGAAACCCCTTTGAAAAGTGAGTATGAATCATCCATCTCACACTTAATACATGCATGTGGATCCATCTCAGTGAATTGAGGGCTTAAAGATAAACAAATGGAATTGGTTATATGTCCCTAGGGTTGTCACTGCCTTTTTGATTTGAGTTTATCCCTATTCATTTTTTACAGTGAAATTTTATTAAAGTATAATGTGCATATATTTTCAGTGGATTTTGCTCTGAAGGTTCTCCAGTGGTCTGACTCCGAGATAGTGCGGCTTCAACTGTGGGATATTGCAGGTAAAGTGAGAGGGCTGGATAGGAACAAGGGAAGAAATTTTTATTTAACCAGCAAGCTTTGAGGAAAAAAAAAAAAAAAATGAGGCAGCAAAGCCAGAAATTGTTTTTCTGAAGCTGGAATGATTGAGCGCTCTGAGGACACATGAGCTGAATAGATGCAGAGCTTTTGTAGATGTTTTGCCCTGAATAAATCTGGAGTAGTCTGTATGTGGATGGAGGGGCTGGCAAGGTGGTGGATTGTCCAGACCAGACCATAGGTGGTCACTCCCACAGCAGGGGAGGCTGCTTTTTCTAGATTTAAGGCTGACCTTGGTGAAAAACAAGATCCCCAGAAAATAGATACAATGAAAATAGTGAATCCTTATTATGTGCCAAGCGTTCTTCTAAGCATTTTAAATTCAATGACTCACTAATCCTCACACCAACCCTATAATAAAAGCTGCTTTTGGAGAATCTCTTGAACCTGGGAGGCAGAGATTGCAGTGAGCTGAGATCGCACCATTACACTCCAGCCTGGGCAGTAAGAGTGAAACTCTGTTTCAAAAAAAAAGGCTACTGCTTTTATCTTCACTTCACAGTTGAGAAATCTGAAGCAGTGAGAGCCTGATTTGCCCAAAATCACATAGTGTGCAGCAGAGCAGAGATTTGGACTGGAGCAATCTGGGTGCTGAATCTGCCTTGGAAATAATCAGGCCTCATTATCCTTTTATGGGATAGATAGAAAACCAAGAGTCAGAGGGGGAAAGTGAGTGGCTCCCTCTGCCACATATGCTTACTTCCCTCTTCCATAAGGAATGGGGAGAGGGCGAGGTGTTAGGATACAGAGGCTGGCTCTCAGGTCACCTTGAGAACTCTCCCCTTTTTCCCCAGGGCAGGAGCGTTTTACCTCTATGACACGACTGTATTATCGGGATGCCTCTGCCTGTGTTATTATGTTTGACGTTACCAATGCCACTACCTTCAGCAACAGCCAGAGGTGGAAACAGGACCTAGACAGTAAGCTCACGCTGCCCAATGGAGAGCCCGTGCCCTGCCTGCTCTTGGCCAACAAGGTATGTGACCAATCTCAGGAAATGGCCCCTAGCCTCTATCTGTGGTTAGAAAGTTAAGTAAAATGCTCTCGGATTCTGGGCATCCATTTCCCCTTCTTAAGTTGGCAGAATCATCTCTACCTCCTTTCAAAGGATGTTGAGGGTGAGACTTTCTTTGAGAAGAATGTTGACTGTAGATTTCCGACGCTGGTGTTCTCATCCATTGGTGGGAAAATGTTTTATAGCCACAGTATCTCAGCCATATTCTTATTCCCAGAAAGTCTATGATGTTGCCTTTTATTTTTTCTCTTTGCCAGTGTGATCTGTCCCCTTGGGCAGTGAGTCGGGACCAGATTGACCGGTTCAGTAAAGAGAACGGTTTCACAGGTTGGACAGAAACATCGGTCAAGGAGAACAAAAATATTAATGAGGCTATGAGGTAAGTAGCTCATGCTGTTCTGAGAATAGGCATGCAGATGTAGCCATCTTCCACTGTGACCCTGTGGACCCTCTTTTCTTGTTTCTGAGCCAGTAATGACAGAGCCACTGGAATGCCAGCCCCTAAAGGTCAGGGATACTGTCTTCTCTCCTGAGATAACTGAGGACAAAGGGGCATTTAAACCTTCCGGCTTTACCAAACATGGATGACAAGTCAGACTACGTCTGCCATTCCTGCTTTTTCTCTAAAATAAGCTTCTCAGGCTTGTTTTTTGTTCTTTAGCGTCCTTATTGAAAAGATGATGAGAAATTCCAGAGAAGATACCCTGTCTTTGTCTACCAAAGGGGACTACATCAATCTACAAACCAAATCCTCCAGCTGGTCCTGCTGCTAGAATTGTTTGGCTTGCTTTCCATTCCAGTTCTGGGAGTCCTTCTCAATCTCTTCCCTTTGGTTGCCAACCTGGCAATTTTTTTCAGTACATTCGAATTGTCTCCTGACTGCTGTCCAGGAAGGAGGCCCGTTGTCACTTGGAAAAGACACCTGGGACCCATGTGCATTTCTGCATCTCCTGGATTCGCCTTTGACATGCTGCCGGCTGATGTTAGTTCCAGTTAGTGCCTTCTGTGTAAGATCATCTCATCATTCCTCCATCTGTGATCTGGAATTTTGCGAGGAGGATAAGAAATCAGCACCTGCGTTTTGGAGGTTATAATTCTCGCCTACTTTTGAGCTTATTTTTCTATTTGGTATGCACTGATATCATGACTTCCAATGGAGAGGAAAAGGAGATCAATGTCATTTCCCAAATTTCTTGTAGGCCATTGCTTTCAGATTCTTTCTGTCTTGGAATGGAAACATCTGATTCTGGAATGAGGAAGGAGTGGGTGTGGCTATCTATGGATTTTTGGCTACTAGAAGCTACCCAGAAGTCCCTGTATTTTTGAAACTTCTAACGTCATAATTAAGTGTCTCTTGTCTTGGCATCAAGAATGGTCAAGTTTTTTGGCTGGGCATGTATCTCATACCTGTAATCCCAATATTTGGGGAGGCCAAGGTGAGTGGATCACTTGAGGTCAGGAGTTCAAGACCAGCCTGGCCAGCATGGCAAAACCCCATGCATGCCTTGATGGCATGCATCTGTAGTCCCAGCTACTCTGGAGGCTAAAGTGGGGAAATTGCTTGAGACTGGGAGGCAGAGGTTGCAATGAGCAGAGATCATGCCACTGCACTCCAGCCTGGGCAACAGAGCCAGACTCCATCTCAAAAAAAAAGAAAAAAAGAATAGTCAAATTTTAAACCACCTATCTCATGCAATGAGAGCATTTTCTTCCACAAAGAGCTTAGTTCTCATGATAGGGTTGTCTAGTGTCTCCTGTTTCCAGGTTTCTGGGTTGATGTCTTAATGCATAATACTGCAAGTGACATCAGTTGGCTGTGATGCTTCGAAATAGGTCTGCTCCTCACAGCTTTGGGAATCTGAATGGAAGAAGAAAAGGGAGAAGTTAACAGCCTCCACCGGGCAACTTGGGGAGCACTTACACACTTAGTCATAGGAAACAAATATTACATGGAGGCCCTGGCCTTGGGGAGAAGAGTGGAGAGACAGAAAATCGTTAGGTAATTTAAGTACTAAGTTGGGCAGGGTTTTGTGGTATCAAATCACTACGAGACAGTTTAATTTGTTAAATTCTCTCAAGAATGGTGATTTATAACCTGCCCAAAGGTATTGATATTCTTAGTAAACTCAGAGGGCTGAAGTTCTTTGATAGACCTTAAATAAGTGTCCTAAGTCAGGATTCCCAAATCTGGCTGGTCAGAAATACCTGGGAAGTTTGTTAACACTTTAAAAAATGTTTTAAGATTTTTGGGTCCCAACTTCAAATCTACTGAATCAAAATTTCGAGGGACGAAACCTAGGTATGTGTTGTTGTTTTCAGAGCTTCTCAGGTGATTGCGAACAGCCTGGTTTGGGAACCATTGCTGGAGAACTTGGTAAAGATACAAAGACCCAGACCTTTTGTATTTGCATTTAAATACAAATCCTGGGTTTCTATATACTCTGTTAGCTCTTTGCTGATGCTGCTACACACGAGACTTTGAAAACTGCTGTCCTAAGAAGGAGATCAGAGGCCACATATCAGAGAAGGGGGGATCAAATCTTCGGTGGTTTGTTGTGTGGTTTTTTTAATGTCAGTTATTTTAACTTGAATAGGCTTCTGAAAACTTGTATTATTAGTTCTCTTTTGTATTACCATTTTCAGATGGGGATTTGATTACTATGATTCTGAAGATAACAGTGGAGTAGCAAATTTCATTGATATCAAGAGATAATTGATTTTCATTCATTGGTTTGAACACCTGCAAAATCACAAATAAATGAGAACTAAGTCTTGTATTCATGGTAGTTATTGGCCTTAAATGTGAGTTTGTCAAAGTGCTGTTTTATACTGATAGCTCAAGAGGATTGTGGAAATGGAGACTTTATTTTTTAAATTCCTTTTTTTTTATTTTTTAAATTTTTTATTCAAGGGGTACATATACTAGTTTGTTACATGGATATATTGTGTGATGCTAAAGTTTGGGTTTCTGCTTAGCCTGTCTCCCAAATAGTGAACATAGTACCCAGTAGGCAGTTTGTCAGCACTTACTCCCTCTCTCCTCACTTTTAGGAGTCCCCAGTGTCTATTGTTTCCATCTTTTTTTTTTTAATTTATAATTTTCTAAAATAGAGATGGGGTTTCACCATGTTGGCCAGGGTGGTCTCGATCTACTGACCTCGTGTTCTGCCTGCCTCAGCCTCCCAGAGTGCTGGGATTACAGGCGTGAGCCACCATGCCCTGCCTATTTCCATCTTTATGCGTGTACCCAGTGTTTACTTCCCACTTGCAAGTGAGAAATGCAATTAAATACCTTCTTTTAAAATGAAGGTAGGCCAGGCATGGTGGCTTACGCCTGTAATCCCAGCACTGTGGGAGGCCGAGGTGGGTGGATCACCTGAGGTCAGGTGTTTGAGACCACCCTGGCCAACATGGTGAAACCCCATCTCTATAAAAATAAAAAATAAAATGAAGGTAAATATTATTCTGTTTACCTGTTAATTTACTAATACCAACTGCATCCCTCTGCCTAGTACCAATTCAGTACTTGATGTAACATGCCAGACACTGCTTGAAAATGTGACCTGTCGCCGGGCACGGTGGCTCAAGCCTGTAATCCCAGCACTTTGGGAGGCCGAGGTGGGTGGATCACGAGGTCAAGAGATCGAGACCATCCCGGTCAACATGGTGAAACCCCGTCTCTACTAAAAATACAAAAAATTAGCTGGGCATGGTGGCGCGTGCCTGTAATCCCAGCTACTCAGGAGGCTGAGGCAGGAGAATTGCCTGAACCCAGGAGGCGGAGGTTGCGGTGAGCCGAGATCGTGCCATTGCACTCCAGCCTGGGTAACAAGAGCGAAACTCCGTCTCAAAAAAAAAAAAAGAAAGAAAGAAAATGTGACCTGTTTGAAAAACTGAATGTGCCTGTTTTCCCATTTGCTGACTCAGGATTTACCTGCTTTTTCAAGCATTGCTAGAGGCTGGCCAGCCAGCCAGCCCTTCTGGATATTCTCTCCCAACTGGTGAACGTTTTATGCCTGAAACTAATTAAAGAAGGAACTGAAATATAACTAATTCCTCTTCGTGCCCCCATGCATAAAGAAAAGAAATTATGATTAGGAAAAATAAAATATTTACATGAATGGAAATGTGATGCTACTAAAAATAATTAGGTATTATCATTCGGATGCTACCTCTTTGGAGCATTCAAAAGAGGTAGCGTCCAAAATTGTTTGGAACATAGATATTGCAGCCTCTCCCTACAGACGGCCCTATATTTGTGACAAGATCCCTCTCCAACCACTCAGCTGGTCTTTGGCCAAAAAGAAAACGTAGTTCCCCAAGAGTGTTCTCAGAAACCAAGGGCTGAGAACACAGCTGTGGGGTAGCGTCTGCCCTGGCTTTCTTCTTTGAACAGACTATAACTGAGTGACCAAACAAGTGAGGCAGAGGAGATTGTAGGTCAGGGAACGCCCTTTAGCAGTAAAGAATGGTTTGCTAGGCCGGCCACGGTGGCTCATGCCTATAACCAGAGCACTTTGGAAGGCCAAGGCGGTGGGTCAATGAGGTCAAGAGATCAAGACCATCCTGGCCAACATGGTGAAACCCCGTCTCTACTAAAAATACAAAAATCAGCTGAGCATGGTGGAGCATGCCTGTAGTCCCAGCTACTCGAGAGGCTGAGGCAGGAGACTCACTTGAACCCAGGAGGCGGAGGTTGCAGTGAGCCAAGGTCGCCACTACACTCCAGCCTGGCGACAGAGTGAGACTCCATGTCAATAAATAAATAAATAAATAAAAGAATGGTTTGCTGGGAGGTTTTTTTGGTTTTTTTGAGACTGAGTTTCGCTCTTGTTACCCAGGCTGGAGTGCAATGGCACGATCTCGGCTCACCACAACCTCCGTCTCCTGGGTTCAGGCAATTCTCCTGCCTCAGCCTCCTGAGTAGCTGGGATTACAGGCACGCGCCACCATGCCCGGCTAATTTTTTGTATTTTTAGTTGAGACGGGGGTTTCACCATGTTGACCAGGATGGTCTCGATCTCTTGACCTCGTGATCCACCCGCCTCAGCTTCCCAAAGTGCTGGGACTACAGGCTTGAGCCACCACGCCCGGCCTGGTTTGCTGTTTTATCACTACTGTTGAGCCAGAATTACCCCAAGGTATTTCCCTAATTCACTTTCTCCAGCTGGGGTCACTCACTGTTTCCTATCATCTCCGGATTTCACTTTTTCTGAGGTGGTCTGTCTTTGGTCCTCAGTATACAATCTCATCTAACGTGAGGACTTTCTTGCCTAATACTTTTGTAGACAATGGCTAAGGCCATGGTTAGAGGATGTAAAAATTTCCATGGAATTCTGTAAAATACAGTAACCAGATTGCCCAAGGAAACAAAACTCAATGCACTTTTCCCCTCCACCCTTCTTGGTTCACTGTGTGTAGGAAGATTTCCTCAGCCGTGGAAGTGACTCATTTGTTAAAGCCAAATAAGCCCCAAAACTGCAGGCTAGAATAGGTAGGAAGTCACTAGAAAATGAGGTTTTCTGGAAAGAACTCTACAGAGAGAGAGAGAGAGAGAGAGAGTTGTGTTTTTTTGGGGGGTTTTCTTGAGACAGGGTCTCACTCTGTCACTGAAGCTAGAGTGCAGTGGTGCAATCTCAGCTCACTGCAGCCTTGACCTCGTGGTTGCAAGCCATCCTCCCACCTCAGCCTCGAGTAGCTGGGACTATAGCGTACGCCACCACACCTGGCTAACTTTTGTATTTTCGTAAAGACGGGTTCACTGTGTTGCCCAGACTGGTCTTGACTTCCTAAGCTCGGGTGACCTGCCCACCTCTGCCTCCCACAGTGCTGGGATTACAGGAGGCATGAGCCCCCCCACACACCACACCCAGCCTTGCATTATGTCTTTTTTTTTTTTTTTTTTTTTTGAGACAGGGTCTTACTCTGTTGCCCCAGCTGGAGTATAGTGGTGCTATCTCAGCTCACTACAGCCTCAACCTCCTGGACCCAAGCAATCCTCCAACCTTCTCGCCTCAGCCTCATGAGTTCCTGAAACTACAGGCTCATGCCACCATGCCCAGCTCATTTTTGTATTTTTTGTAGAGACAGGGTTTCACCATGTTTCTACATATCTTTTTTGATTCTGCCATAAATACCAGAGACTTCAGAATATAGTCAGAATATATGACCTTTGTTGCTGGAAAAACCCTGCCTGTGTTTATAGTCTTCCAGGATGACCTGAATTCTCTCAAGTTTTAGCTGCAGTTTTGGTATAATCATATTGTTCTATATTAGAGTCCTCCAGGGAAACAGAACCAATAAGAGGGATAAATATTATAAATATAAGATATATAGAAATAAATATATAGGGAGATATAGATATATAAGTATACATGTGTTTACTGTAAGGAATTGGCTCACACAATTATGGAGGCTGACAAATCCAAAATCTGCAGAGCTTGGCTGGGTGTAGTGGCTCATGCCTATAGTCCCAACACTTTGGGAGGCTGAGGCGAGTGGATCTTTGAAGTCAGAAGTTCAAGACAAGCCTGGCCAATGTGATGAAATCCCATCTCTACTAAGAATACAAAAATTAGCCAGGCATGGTGGTGGGTGCCTATAGTCCCAGCTACTTGGGAGGCTGAGGCAGGAGATTGCTTGCATCTGGGAGGCAGAGGTTGCAGCGAGCCAAAATTGCACTACCGCACTCCAGCCTGGGTGACAGAGCGAGACACTGTCTCAAAAAAAATCTGCAGAGCTGATGTCCAGCAGGCGGAAGAGCCAATGCTCCAGTTCAAAGCCCATCAGGCAGGAGAATTCTCTTGTACTTGGAGGAAGGCAGTATTTTGTTCTACTCAGACCTTCAACTGATTGGATGAGGCCCACCTAGGGAGAGCAATCTGCTTTACTCAGTCTGCCAATATAAATGTTAATCTCATCCAAAACACCCTTACAGAAACACCCAAAATAATGACTGACCAAGTATTTGGACATCCTGTGGTCCAGTCAAATTGATAGATAAAATCAACCATCACATGATGATGGGTACTGTTTTGTACATTCTAATTTAACTCACAATCAAGTTAAAGTTCATCTGATTAAGAACTAATTACACGTTAATGGGAATAAAGAAAGCAGATAGGAAGAGGAAAGAGGTATTTTATGATTTATTTCGCATAGAATTCTTCCCTCAGATCTGTGAGTTATATATGCCTCTTACACTATCTTTGAAATAAGAAAGCAAGCAATTCTTCCCATTCTGTGTTTCAGGGAACAAATGTCTTGAAATTTGACTGACTGAAAGCCAGCCGGTTGAATTTGTAATAAAGCCAAGGCATAACTGCAAGTCTTCTCATTCTCTGTCTCCATTCTGTCATTTAGGTTTCTGGGAAACATTTGGCCTGAAAAACCTATTTTAGAAAATAAGCCCAGACATTTAGAGAAACAGAACTGAGCCCTTTGGGGTTTGAAACTCTTGGTTTGTGTTAGATAGCTTTTGAGAACATGTTCATGTGTAAAAGAGAGACATGCATGTAATTAAATTTGGGGCCAAATTAGGTGCAGTTAGAATAGCATACAGTACAGACATTTCCCGAGCTGTTTCATTGACAAGTACCACTTACTAAGACATGTCACCTCAGTGACTGTCATTTAATTTTGAATATCACTTTTTTGTTTGTAAGTGCAGAGATTTTGACAGCCATTCCAGCTTCAACTGTTGCAGCCAGTAGCTAATGTTAATCTGACTGTTTGCTATAAACCAAGTACTCGCCCAAGTACTTTACATGAATTATTT